TTATTAACTACACAAGGTGCCAGTTACTCTAGCCTTCGTCAACATTGCATAATCAATGGGCCTAGTATGCCTTTAAGTAGCTGCAGTGTGTATGCGACATGACAGATAATTCATGTCAATCACACACATAAATGAAATAACAGCTGTGGTGTCTATTCTAATTAAATGAACCTTCTGCATTGATGGGGGTCGCATCATCAGACACTTCTTCGTCGGGCGGCCATTCATTTAAAACCTTAGCACTGCTTTTCTCCAAACTGAAAAACCCATGTCCAACTGTAAAACCCATGTACTGTCACTAAGGTCATCTAATCTGATTTTGCAAAAGAGAAATTTTCGCTAAAAAAATCGTAACTAAACTTTGTTTGTATGTTCAATTGTTCATAGGTTGTCATTTGACAACTGATAATCTACTCGGCTATAGCAATACCAAGTACTAATAATCTAATGTAAATAAACCTGACATATTGTGGATACTCTTCAATCTTAAAAGAAGATATACATACAAACGATACCCAATCTATCACAAATACAATTCGCCATAGTAGTAGCAGGTAGTGCATATGAGACCACTATAACACATATATACTGCACTTGCATAATACCTCACTTACCATGTATAACGTAAAGTATATAAGTAGATACCTTGGAGCTGGAGTGATTTTTGGACGAGCTTTGTATTTGTGGCGTAGTTCATCTCCATACAGATCCCGGACTACCGTCAACATTTTATCAGATTTATCCAAGACATCCTGCAGCTATAAAGACGAGCAACTCATTCCGTAATAATATCACAATCACAGATGCCAAGTGATCTGACAGCAAGACATGAAAGCCAATATGAGTGTAAAGAAGCGGGTGTATGTTCACTTGTGATTAATTCACAACTTATTCTACACTATATAATTATCGCAAGACAAAATTTATCTAGAGTGTAAAATAAGTATCTTCTTACCTGGCTATCATCATACAAGATTTCTCTGAGCAAATGTGCCTTTCGTTTCTCCACACTTGTTGGAACTTTATTCTTGCACGCTAATAAACCATAAAAATGTAACTATAATGTAACTATAATGTAACTATAATGCCAACTTATCATGTGTAACATTGTGATCACAATGGCTTTTATGTTCTTACTAAACATTTCTTTCTTCCTGTCGTCACAATCGTATGACAAATAAACACAAGCGGATTGGTCAGGGATAAATGACAGACTGGTAAGATGTAAGTTGCATACCTCTCTGGATAGCCTTCTCTTGCTCTTCCCACTTAACAAGGTCCACATTCTTGGATTTCCGAAGCTCTTGACGTCTATTCTACATAAATGCAGGGTAAACCGTGTTTTTATCATGCAGTCAGGCGTGTAGTGACAAAAATACATCACCATTAAAAATGTATGGACAACTTCTATATTAGTAAGTATTCAAGGATGCTATTGATATCTTATCTGTTATCATTTATCAAACAACTGAATCATCATCATTATCATATCAGGAGTAAGATAATATAGATTATCTATATTATCTTACTCCTGATTATATGTTTAACTAGTAAGAATTTCATCGTTTCTGTTAAACATCAGAAACCTATTAAAAATACACAACCCATTACATTAAAATAATTTGAAATACATTTATATCTTAATTAGTAATTAACTAATTATTACTGCCCTAATTTACTTACGATTTCTTCCGGTGAGGCTTTGTGTACTTCAAGATCATTAACGGTATTCTGTAATTACATATATTATTAAGCTAAGTCTACACACACTCAGCTCTGTTATTTAAGTATGATCAGTGAATGACAAGATGGGCCATTGAGTTTCAGTTTGTGTTTAGGCCGTGGCTCCTCGACCGGTAACCGGTCGCCAATGTTCCGTGGCTAAACGACCGGTTAACAGGATGGGTGCAAATCCACTTTAGGCACCTTAGGTATCACGAAGTGATGCACAGATTTCTGTGTTACGTGTATCATCAACTGATACACAGACTTTCCGTATATCAAGGAATGATGCAAAAACCCCAACCCTAACCCTAACCGGGCTAACCCTAACACACTTCGTGATACCTAAGGTTATACTTTATCACTTAGAGTTAGGGTTAGGGTTTTTGCATCATTCCTTGATATACGGAGTCTGTGCATCAGTTGATCATGATGATACACAGAAATCTATGCATCACTTCGTGATACCTAAGGTGCCTAAAGAGTAAAGTGGATTTGCACCCTCTAGGTGCTCTAGGGCTCTATATCCCGCGTACGTACTACAGTTGCCACAGGCCTGCAGCAACTGCATGTATGCGGTACCAGCCCTAGCGCTAACGGCGGTGGTGATGGCTGCTGCCAAGTAAAAAAAAATTATCAGAAAACGATCATATCAACACATTTTTCGTTATGCTATTTGTGTACCAGTAAATAAGACTAGTTTAAACAGTAGGTTTAGCGGCGGTTATAGTGATTTTAGTAGCCTCCCTTCCTGTGACCCTTCCCACCTCGAGATGTGTCCGGTCGAGGACCCACAGCATTGTTTAGGCCTATATCAGTACTAGACAGTAGGCCTATTACGACTCGAGTCACATTGATTTAAATGAAGAAACGTAATTTAGACACTGATTGTCCAGCAGGCGTGGTGGTCCTACTACAATAACAAATTATAACATACAAGTTGGGCGTACATTACAATGGCAATGAACATTTTCAACCTACATCCCATGGTGGCACTGGCAACGCTTTTTTCTTCGTCTGTCTGGGCCTATGCGCGTGGCGAGTTGTTTTTGGCGGTTGACTTGGATGTATCTGCCTCCTGCCAGGTTTGCTTACTGCCAGTGATTTGATGTGTGACATTTTCCTGATGACAAATTTAATTGTTTCAGACAATAAATGACCGAAAATGGTTATGTAAATAAGGCGATTGTTACACAACTTCTTAACTGGCGCGCCATTTCTTATTAAACACAAGAACATAACTACGAAAATATCGCAGTGGCTACGCGTCCGGAACCGGTCGCCTAGCCTCCAGGCTACGCATCCGGACATACACTCACACAGTGATCGCGTGACTCGCGTACACGCACGATTGCGCAACGGAACGCTCTGCTGATTGCCGAAAATATACAATATATGCACTGCTGCCGTCTATCCTTTCATCCGTCCTCTCTCGCTCTCTATCTCTCAATCTCTCACACACACGCACAGCTCTCTCTCTCTCTCTCACACACACACATGCACAGCTCTCTCTATTTCTCACACACACACACACACACCTCTAGCTCGCTCTCTCTCTCACGCATACACACACACATACACATTCCGCTCTCTCTCTCTCACACACACACACACACACACACACCTCTAGTTCGCTCTCTCTCTCACGCATACACACACACATACACATTCCGCTCTCTCGCTCTCCCTCTCTCACGCATACACACCAGGCTTTCATTTTTAAGGGGCGCGATCGCGCTCGCGCTCCACCGCGCACCATAAATTGTGCCATGGTGCGTGCATCATCGCGCCTCATAAAAGTGGTTGAAATCACGCACCAAAAGGATGTGTATTATGTTGAAATAGCGCTCCATTTTACAGGGATGAGAATCTTCCGCGGATCCGCGGAAATCCGCGGATTTCACAGTCCCAGGGTCGATTTTGTGAAACGTCTAAATCCGTTGAGAGAAAATTTTAGGGGGGTTAGAATGTACACATTTTGATTTTAAAGTCCAACAGCCTACTAACAC